TGTTGTTATTATTAATGTTTCGCCAGAATCAAACATCATTATAATAATAATAATAATATTCTGCTTTAATGGAATAATGCATTCATCCATCAATTTTTTTGTATTATAAAAATATTATTATTATTCTGTTTTACATCATCATCATCATCATCATCATCAGTACATTATTATTGTCAACATTCATTTTTTATATTTTGTGAATATTTGATTTTTTCATTTCTTCTCATGTGTGTGTATTTGTGTTTTTACATAATTTGTTTTTTTTTTCTGATGTTTGTAAATACGATAATGACAAAATCTCATTCAATTTTTTTGTTTTCATTTTCACTTTGTTTTTTTTGTTCACATTAAAACAAACACAAACACAAACAGCACACTAAAACAGTGAGAAATAATGTTCACCTGAAAGAATATTGTTCATGAAAATCATTTTTTTGTTTGTTCGGTTATTATTGTTGTTGGATTGAATAATAAAAAAAATTTGAACCGATTTTATCGTCGATTTTTGTTGTTGTTGCCAATTTCAATGTTTGGATCGATAGATCGATCGTTCGTTTGTTTGCACTGAAATTCTTTTGAAATTTTCACTAAATTAATATGTTTTGATTTTGATTCTTTTTCTGAGAAAAACAAACAAACAATGATCACACGGTATCATCATCATTATCATCATTAAAATATGATATAAATAGATTGTGATTATTATTAATTTATAGGAAGGAGGAATAATAATGAAAATAAAAATTATCGATTTTTTTCTCTCTGTAATTTCCATTCGCTTATTCGATTATTATTTTTCTAAAAATATCCACCAAAAATTAAACGTTCGATTTTTTTTTGTTCACGAGAAAAATAGCGAATACATTGTATATGAACAGGACCGCGGTCACATGATTTTTGCATTTTGTTTGTAAAATTTTTTTAAAAATTTCAAAATTTATTCGAAATTCAATTTGTAATTGTAAAAATGTCACTATCAACGAAACAATTTCGTTCGATACGAACATTTGAAAATAAATTTGTCTATATGGATGTTCAACTGTAAGTTTGTTTACTTTTCGATGATTGTTATTGAATAACAACGATCAATAACAATTTTCTGTTTTTTTTTCTTTTGCAGATGTTTTACAATCAAACAATCGACTATTGAAGTACGAGAATATAAATTAATTATTATGAAAGCAATTGATTCACTTTTAGGTGAAATTGGTTCAAAAATTCAATTTGATATTGTTAAATATTGTTGTAAAGATTTTCGTGCAATTATTCGACTATTGGCAAGGTAAGAAAGTGAAAGTGAAATATTCAATTGTCTGACGAAACTGCCAAAAACATTTGTAATTAACTTTTCAAAATGGTGTTATTTATTAATTGTTTTTTTCTGTTTTTTTGTTCATTTTGTTTTGTCAAATTCAATTTTAGAGACTACGTTAAATTACATCTTTGTCTTTCATTGTTGAACGAATGGAAAGATTCACGTTGTCAATTTATTATTCACAAGGTTTGTAATAGAAAA